GATGAGCTTAAAGGGCTTTTCCACCCAAACAATTCTATGATTCTGTGGAACCTGAGGCAGAGCCTTTCCCTGGGTACTGTGTGTGAGGTGCTCTGCTGCGAGATGCGCTCTCAAACTCTTCCCCTACCTGTCCTGGGTGACATTTAATGCATCTGTGATACTTCAGTTACTCATATTGCTGTCATCATAAAACGCATGTACAAAGGTGATGCGGTGTCTGCCTGTGTGACATCTCTAAAAATTGTGTTTTAGCTAATCACTGAGATAGAAAACATGAGGCACAGGATCATTGAGATTCACCAGGAAATCTTTAACCACAACGAGCACGAAGTCAGTAAGAGGTGGACGTTTGAAGAAGCGGTAAGTCTGGTTTTTTCTGTTGTAAGGCAGCATGTGCAGGAGTTTTGAAGGTGAGACTGGGAGCTGGGAATTTTGAGTAGCAGGTAGGCCTGTTGTGGGGCTTTGAACAAAGATGAAGTTGAGCTTCTCTGCAGTTTTTCTTGTGAAAAGTTAACTTGTGAGGTCAGCTCTGCCATCTGAGGGTTTAAAAATCTTTAAGTGGTATTTGGAGAGAGGCAAGATGGTGCATTGTTTACTAGGCAGCCTTTGAATGTGCATACGTGAAATGTTACATAAGTTAGTGCTGCCTTATGTGTCTGGGGTGTTGCAAAACAACAAGGGGATGAAGGTGATTCTAATTGAAAAGGTAAGCCTGTCCTAAAAGGAGAAGGAAATTGGTACATCTTTGTGTTTTAACATTACACTCCTAAACCTGACATCAGTTTCCTTTCCAAAAGCAGCCATCGTAACGTGCAGCTCCAGTGTGTCCTGTGTTAAAAACAATGAGTCAAACAAATCACTTGATCACTGCAAATGTGGAACTTTTTCCATGTAGAATTAAGCTTGGTTACTTTTGAGAAAGCAACCAGAGAAGGAAGCAGAGGATTCAAAGCCTGTCCCTAGAGCAGGTGGTGCTCAAATATGTCGATGTATTGTGGAAAAGAGTTCTGAGAGCGTAGGTATTCTTGGCTCAGGAAACCTTGAGCTACACATTATTGAAACTTGGGAGAAAGCTGAAACTGATGAGATGCTGCAGAAAATGTCTAAGAACCAGGGTGTCCTCTCTCACTCCCAGCCAGAATCAATGCTTTTTCCACCAAGAGAGTATCTCTGCTCTGTAGGTACCAACATGTTGGATCTGCGGGGCATCTGAAATATAAGTGTCTTTAAAAGGGACAGAGCTGAGGTGCGTAGGCAAGAGGTGTCACACAAGTGATGCAGACTGCTTGGACCTGTTTTGTTGTTGTTTTAGCAGGAACAGTGTACCTGTGAATTTGTCAAAATTAAATAGGAGTATTGGGTTCCATAGTAAAGTTCAGTGAGGAGCACAAAAGGGGTGACTTGCTTTAAATTTCAGGTGGCCTTGAAGAACTGAGTTACTCCTTAATTATTGTAAGTTCCTTACCCATTTGTATGTGTTTGTATCAGGTAAGGAATTGCAGTAGAGGAGAGGAATAACCAGGTAAAAGGGAAGATGGAGAAGAGAAAAAGCAAAAGATCTCTGGGAGGATGCTTTGCTACGTTCTGTTCAGAGCAATGTTTAAATGTTCCTGTGCTGAACTCTGCCTCACCCAGCTCCTCTGTAGTCATCAATGAAAACACAGTCTTGGTAGCTCTTGGAATCACCCACTTAGTGTAAATATTTCCTGTGAAGTTCAGTTCAGTGCTCTGGTGATTCTCCCCCAGATTTTGAGTGTAATTTGTAGGACAGTGGTAAGTGCTTTAGCTGTACGTCTGTGTGTGGACAGTACCTGTTGTTTTCACAGTGTCACTGTCACGTTGTGACCACAGGTTTGCGAGGGAGTAACTGCTCTGGGCTCTTTCTCAGCTTCTGTAAACGCTTGTGCACAAAAAGCTTTCGAGGAAAAATGAGTTTCTAGTCTAGAATATAATTGTCAGCAACATCCCTTGATCAATACTTGGGTAACCCCGGCAGAATTATTAGGATAGCTAATGACTTATCATTCCCAAGCCCTGTTTGTTTCAGCAGCATTATTTGAACGGTGTGTGTGGTTGGTTGGTTGTTTTTTTAAGCAGTTGGTGTTGTGCTCATTAATGGTGAGTTGCTGTGCTGTGACTCTTGCAGATCAAGAGGCCTTACTTTCATGTAAAACCTCTGGAGAAAATTCAGCTGAAAAACTGGAAAGAGTACTTAGAATTTGAGATAGAAAATGGCACTCACGAGCGGGTTGTGGTCCTCTTTGAAAGATGTGTCATTTCATGTGCCCTCTATGAGGACTTCTGGATTAAGGTAAGGGAAGGGGTTTAGCGCCCACCTCCCGCCGATGGCATACCTTGACCTAGTGACTAACCTTTGTACTCTTGTGGAATGTTGTTCATATATAACTATATCTGTTGCATTAGGAGATGGTCTGCTTGCAACCAGATTTGACTGCTGCATATGCCAACTTCGTTGCCTCTCTACGTCCTTCCTTACAGAAACTAGTCTAGTGGTTCAATAAAGGTGCTGAATGGGTTTAAACAAAAGAATTTTATCGTTCTGTCATGTTTTTAAAGACAAATACAAGCTTTAAATTTTCCAATCTCTGCTCTGTTTTCAACTATAGTATGCCAAATACATGGAGAATCATAGCATTGAAGGAGTGAGGCATGTCTACAGCAGGGCTTGCACAATCCATCTTCCTAAGAAGCCCATGGTTCACATGCTGTGGGCCGCCTTTGAGGAGCAGCAGGGTAAGAGCAGCGGCGGGTTTTGCTGGGGGGATTCTGGTTTGAGGAGGCTGTGGGATGTCTCATGTCTTAAAGCATCTTCACCGGTGTTTTAGGCAACATCGATGAAGCAAGAAGAATCTTGAAAACCTTTGAAGAGTGTATTCTAGGGCTAGCCATGATTCGCTTGCGGAGAGTGAGCTTAGAGCGCAGACATGGGAACATGGAAGAAGCTGAGCACCTGCTGGAAGATGCTGTTAGGAATGCCAAATCCATTAGCGAGTCGTCGTTTTATGCCATCAAATTAGCTCGACACCTCTTCAAAGTGCAGAAAAATCTTCCAAAGGCAAGAAAAGTGCTGTCAGAAGCCATAGAAATTGACAAAGTATGTGTTCCCTCTTTGCTGTATTTAAAAAAAACATAATAATAATAATAATAGTCCTGGTATTTCTCTCTCTGACCCATTTTCTATAAAAACCGATGGCAACGATGATGACAGGAGTTGTAACTGTAGGAATGTTTCATCAGTGCATGGAGACACCAGTCCCTCTAAACTGATGTTGCCATCTTTGCCCTTTGCCAATCTGGAAGTTGTCAGATTGTTTTCATCAGAAGCACAATGTGCTTTTTGGAATCTTAAATGTTATGGGTGTGTTCCCATCTCGGGTGAACAAAACCGATGGTGTAGGCAGTGCACAGTAACAGCAGCAATGTTCATTTCAAATACTGTTACCTTATTCCTAGCAAAGTGACCTGGTTTTGTAGCGTTAGATCAGATCCCTCCTAACCTGTTTGTGAAACAAACCAGGTCAGGGATGACCGGTGTAAAGAGAAAATGTTGTTATTGGTTATTGCAGCGTGTATTCCTGGTGTCAGCGTTATGGTGTGCATCCCCTGGGGATACATTCAGTGTTAATGCCCAACGTGATGGATGTACAACTTCTAACGCCTCTTTTGCACAGGAAAATACCAAACTGTACCTGAACTTGCTGGAGATGGAGTACAGCGGCGACCTCCGGCACAACGAAGAGAACATCCTGAGCTGTTTCGATAAAGCCGTCAACGGCGCCTTGTCTATAAAAATGAGGATTACCTTTTCCCAGAGAAAAGTGGAATTTCTGGAAGATTTTGGTTCTGATGTAAACAAGTAAGATGTAATGTGTGCAGGGTCACTGAGAGCGTGTCTGTGGGAGCAGG